TATAAAAGATCCTGAAATATTGTAGTGACTCTTCTTTGAATGGATGTAAGGCTGTTATAAAAGGGGCATCAGAACAGCAGTAATGACAGGGCACTGTCATGTTAGGTGAGCATTCAAAGGTTTTAGGTCTCCGTGTCTTTCTGGGTCCCATCAGGAAATAGGTGGCACATTCAAATTGGGAACTTGGGCAGGGCCTAAGGGAAATACTAGGATAGTGTGGTGTGCTGGGGGTAGAAGCAGCCAAACTCCTTCCACTCGGGGCCTGAGGGCTGAGGAAGGGAGCATTTATAGGGAGACAGAGAGCTCTGTGCAGGGGGCCACCTGACAGGACCTATGACCTGGTGGGACCCTGCAGGGAGGGGATCTCTTCTTCCTTCTGCTGTCCTGTGGGTGCCCACCCGCCTGTGGGAACCTCTCCACTGGGCAAAGCCAACCAGGAGCCAGAGGGCAAGGGAGCCTGTTATTAAGTGGATCAATGTCCTGGAGCAAAGAACAGAGTGGAAAACAAAGGAAGGAGTGGAATGTTGGGTTTTAGGATATACCTAAGATACTTTTTATGAGTTCCAGCTCTCTCTCGCTTGCCCTCCCCTCCCCTAACTCCACCCATACACACCACAGATGAGCACATTGCAAACGTGTGCACACACACACACACACACACCCCTAAGTCTCCTCTGGCATTTTGTGATCACTTTTCTGGGAGGGCAGAGAAGCAGTTCATTAACTGAAGTCTGAGGACATTTCTAACTATTTCTGTGGTGTTTGGGTGTGCAGCATATGCCATGGGATATACAGGGAAGGGTTTGGATAACTCTATACATCCCATCTTTCATTCCTGATAAAAAAAACTCAAAGCACATGTGTTACTGATGGTAGAATTAAACATTTTATTTTATTTTTTTTTTAAGTCTCTTTTATAGCTGGACACAGAAGGAAAAATACCGAGGCAGAAATTTAAAACCTTTGGTGAGCTATATTCAATTTTGGTTATTCTGGTTAAAAACAAAAAGCAAGCATTGAATTTTAGCCTCTTTGATCCAGATGGTTTTAGTTTTCCACCGTTGGACATATTAAAACTTTGAAGACACAGAAGTACCATTCAGTAAACTGCTTCTTTCAGCAACTTCTGTGATGTCCGGGTGCTCTAGAAGCCTGGGTATCCTTTCAGGCAGAAGCAGTTATCTCTGAATTAGTCACTCTCTGTGCGAGGTCAGGAGCTTTTTATTCCATACCAGGGGGCAGAGAGGGATTTTTTTTTTAATGATTTGATCTTTTGTAAATATGTGACTTTTCACTTGATTTAGGTTCTGAGAGTCAAAGATTCTAATAAAATAAAATGGTCAACATGGCCAACAAATCTATAGGAAGAAAAATATGCACAAGCCAGTTTTAGGTGTTAATTTCTTGAGTGTGGTTCCTGTAAGAGGAACTCAAGCTATATGGATGGTAAAATGAATTTTCCTCTCCCCGTTTTTCTGGAGTCTGGATGAAAACTGAGCCCTGTGGCACATTGCTGAATGTTCTTGGCCCCAAGTTGGAGGCCTAGCTGAGGACTCGTGGGGAAAACAAAACTCTATTTTCTGTTTATGGTTATCAGCCATGTTGTAAAACATAAATGTAATTTATTTTGCCTTAAAGTCAAGGAAAAAAAGCCCTCTTGAACTTCCCCATTAGTTTTCAAGAACCAGAGCAGCGTATGTTTTTGTTTCATGGCTTTTGCCCACAGGTAAGCTATGCCGCAGAGAATCACTCATGTGGTCATGGGCCACTGGATTTGGGGAGCCCCCACTGTGTGGGGCATTGTGTTCACATTTAGGACTGGTAAGCATGAGTGAGGCAGTGCCCTAGTCCTGAGTTGGTTTATATAATTCTGCTGGAAGATTGGATGCATGAGCAGACACGTGGCCTGCAGAGAAAGAAAGACTGCCTCAGGATGAGGAGAGTGCCGTGGAAAATTACAAGGCAGGAGAGGTCCTGTCTTTACAGCTGGAGAGAGAGCAAAAACACAGCTGCCACTGAGCCAGGCCTTGAAGGCTCCCGGGTGGAAAAGATCCGGGGTGGATTTGAAGGAGTTCTGACTTCAGTTATAAGCTTCAGTTTTCCTCATCTGTAAAATGGTGCTATCTTTCCCACCCATATCACAGTACTTTTAGGAGGCTAAATTATAAAATGCACCACCCACAGTAAAATACTCTTAATACTATTACTTACTGTTGTGCTTAATATTATCGGGTGGTGTCTGTTACATATTTACATGTGTGAGATGCTCTTCTGTAGTTTTCCAGGAGGGTGATCTCACAAAGAGTTACCGTTACTCTTGGTGACTTATTAGGCTAGCCCTACTCAGGAAGGTCTTTCTCTGTGGGAGTCTAGCAAATCTCATAAATGTAATGGAGAGAGTCCGCTCTCATAGTGGGGAGAGGTCCCTGGACAGAGAAAGGCCAAGTTCGCGTCTTTAGGGAAGAACCATATGTGGGATGGTTGAGTGTGTTAATGTGCAGATGCCTGAAGTCCTGGGTTTGAGATAGCCATACAGAAATTTGGGAATTAGGACTCTGTGATTGTTTTTTTAAAAGAAAATAAGTATCAACGCTTAAAAAAAATTTTTTTTTTTTAATTTCCTAGAGTCAGTTTCTGAGACTTGAAGAACTTTGAATTGACTTAGAGAAGTAGGAGATGCAGTAAATCCCTTCCTGGGAATGAATAAAATGTCGTGAGTTAAGTTGGAGACTTGGAGCCTGAAACATGTTAGGATTGTATGAGGGGAGGGATATGAATGCATGAGATTAGGTTTAAAAAGCATATGCCACATGTTTAGTCAGAGATCTAGTTCCACGTCACTCCCCAGATAGACCCCATGCATGCGTTCCCTTTGCTAAATAGGACTGGACCACCCTTTGGCAGTTTATGAGCCAATCCAGAAAACCAACCTCATGGTCATTCTCTTTTTTTCCTTTTTTAAAATAGACTTTATTTTTTAGACTATTTTTAGATTTACAGAAAAATGGAGAAGATAGTACCCAGTTCTGTACCCCCTCACCCCATTTGCCCATTATTAACATCTTATATTAATATGGTACATTTATTACAATGAATCAACCAATAGTGATGAAACCAAAGTCCATAATGTGTTCAGATTTTCATAGTTTATACCTGGATCAAAAACTGTCCTTTTTAACTCCCCGCCGTGTCCCATCACTGTTTTGGACAGTTAGTGACTTTCCATTAGTTTTGTCTGTTGAGTGAATAAACACATCACATGCTCTGCCTGCCTTTAAGTTGTTACAGTGTGGCAGGGAAGGATCCAACACACCGTGCAAATGACATGCACCTTGGTGTTGGAGAGTTTGGAAGCAGAGAGGGCTACGTTTGGATGAAGCCCAGCACTGCCTGTTACTACCCTTGTGACTTGGACAGGTCACCCAGCCTCTCAAAGCTTGTTTTCTCACCCGTGAGAAGGGGGTAGTAGCAGTTCCTGCCTCACTGGGGTAGGAATAGAATGAGTAAGTGAAAGAATGCACATGAGAGTGTGTTGAGCAGGGCCTAACATAGGGAGCTGTCAGTCAATGTCAGCTTCAAGTTTGACCACGGGGGATGGACTGTGCTAAGTGTGATGAATCAGAAAAGGATGATGCGTAAAGTTGTGGGGCGCGGGGGGAGGTGGATAGGAACGTTTTCTTGGGGAAGGCAGCATTTGAGATTGACCTAAAAGGATTAAGTCTGCTCTAACCAGAGGCACAGTGACCATCGAGAGAAAATGCCAGGTTGAGAGACTGTAATACATAAAGGTACGGAGAGTGGGAAGGCTTGGAAAAATGTCTTCTGGAGGAAAGAAAATTATTTACTGTAGATGGACCATAGTGTAAGGTGGTAGGACAATAATAGGACAAGGGAGAGAAAACTGTAAGATAAATGTTTTTGACCGATAGCAATTTATTTTTCATTTTTTAAATTTAAATTCAATTAATTAACATATAATGTCTTATTGGTTTTTGAGGTAGAGGTCAGTGATTCATCAGTCTTATATAGTACCCTGTGCTCATTATGGACTGAGAGAAATTTAAACTTTTAAAAGTTTTCAAATATAGAAAAAAGTAGAATGAATACCACAGTGAACATCCATAGAATCTCCATCTTATTTTAATAATAATAATTATTTTTTTAAAAGATTTTATTTATTTGAGAGAGAGAGACAGTGACAGAGAGCACACATGTGGGGAGGAGAGGGAGAAGCAGGCTCCCCGCTGAGCAGGAAGCCAGATGCTGGGCTGGATCCTAGGACCCTGGGATCATGACCTGACCCGAATGCAGACGCTTAACGACTGAGCCACCCAGATGTCCCTAACTTTAACAATTATTAACATTCTTCCCTATGTACTTCATCAGTATAAATTTTCATAGGTTATCTTTTTTTTTTTTAAAGATTTTATTTATTTATTCATGAGAGACAGAGAGAGAGACAGAGGCAGAGGGAGAAGCAGGCTCCCCGCGGAGCAGGGAGCCCGATGCGGGACTCGATCCCAGGACCCTGGGATCATGACCTGAGCCGAAGGCAGACGCTTAACCGACTGAGCCACCCAGGCGTCCCCATAGATTATCTTTTGCTGAACCATTTAAAAATAAATTCTAGATATCATGACATTTTACCCCAAAATATTTGAGCATGCATCTCCAAGAAATAAGGAAACTGCCTTACTGAATATCAATAAATAAATGTTAAGTCCAAATAGATTCAGATTCCCCCCATCAAGATGATGACTTTGATGTTAGTTTTGAAATTTCAAGTGATCGCATTTTTAAATAACTCCGCATCTGCCTACTTGCCTTGAGTAGACCAGCACTAGACTCATAGAATTCAGTAGAGATACAGTGACACATTGATTTCGGGTGAGGCCAGTGTCGAAACTTCCCCCATGTGAAAAGACATCCCGAATGGTTCTGTGTAGACACGCAGAAGTGATTTTTGGTTCCGTTGGCTCGATAAGCTTTTTGGACACTCGATTCCAATCCCTGTGGGTAATTTCACAGTGAGTTTCACAATATTTCTGGAAGGCAAGAAGTCCGTCAGGACCGCGGGTGGAATTGTGGTATGAGTGCCTGAAGCTTGCGACGGGAAAGTCCCTGGAAGTTGGAAGAGATTTGGAAAGCAGAGGAAGCAGAACCTTGTGAGTGCTGGGGCACAGAACCTCCTTCTTTGGTTTTGGCCCACCCCGATTCACAGACACCTATGGCTGGGCAAGTGTCTGAATTGTTCTAAGTCCTGGGGTGGGTGTGCAAAATTCCTCCTCCCCCCGGCTACACTTCTCCGACTCACAGAATATACCCTGGCCAGCACTGGGACTCTTATGCAAGAGAAGGAGATGGGTATTGAGGAAGGTTCTCCTCCAAAGGGGCACCCTCTTATTGCCTTTTCCTAATGACATCTCCTTGTTACACTGTGGAAGTGGGGCTCCTCTGGGAATCATTTCTTTCCACCTCACTGGCAGGTGCACGGTGAGTGCTACGTTAAATGATTCCATTTAGCCTTGTAGTGTAACCTAGCCCACCCTGCCTCTTCTAGAGGAACCTTATTTCCACCTCTGTTTGGACTTTGATGCGGTTGCATTGACCCACTTGGAAAAGATCCAGTATGTAGTGCCTGCTTGTTTTTCCTTCTGTCCTTAATTTGGGTTGCCTTTTGTTGTCTTCCAACTGAATGGATTCTTTCTCTTTTAAGGGAAAGGAACCTGAGAAAAACAATGCTTGTGGTGATTGTTAAGGATAATTGCTGTTTTATGTTAATCTAAGTGTTTAAATGAGGAGATAGGGAATTGCTAATTCATCAACCTGTTCTCTCCCCAGCCTAGTCCTTTTAAGTATATTTGTTGCTTAAATAAAGATGTAGCCATGCAGAGTGGAAATGTCCAAATGTACAGTTTTTAAGTGCAATTGTATATATAGGATTTAAAATTTTATTGCCATCAGCAAGAATCATGATAAGATTCTTGGAAATTATAGAAAAGTGGAAAGGAGAAACCCAGAGATAACTAGCATTAACACTGTGAATTTATGTCTCGCTATTTTAATCTACGTGTTACATCTCTCTAAATGGGCAGACTTTCACTATACTGTCTAGAACTTTTTGCTACTCAAATGTGTGGTCCCTAGATTCAGCGTCCTTGACATCTCTTGGGAGCTTGCTAATGCAGAATCTTGGGCTCTACCCCAGAATCATAATTTGTATTGAGTGATATTACATATACATTAAAATTTGGAAGCTCTATTACACAGTATACTCAGGGCAGCAAGTGAAGTGGATATGGCTCAAAGAGCCAAGACCTGTGCTCTCTGTTCTTCTCCATTTCCCCTCTGTCATGTTTTCTTAAAATAATTCGCCTCATATGCACTAAAGCTAAACATGAGGTCTCTCTCTCTCTCTCTCTCTTTTTTTTTTTTAGTAAGCCATAGCAACCCTGTCAAGAAATCTGTCTCACACATAAACATTTCATTCAGTGAACATTCGTGAAGGGCTTCCTGTGTTCTGGGTCCACACGTAGCAGTCCCGGACCCTGCAGGTAAGGCTTGCATATCCTGCAGGAGAAGCATATGGAGGGCAAGGAGGATTGAGTGGTTGCTTCTGCAGGGGTGGAAGTCACCAAGAAAAATAGTCTCTGAGCTGAGGCTTGAAATATAAACCCGTGAACATGAGTTATGAGTATTGCTAGGCTCTAGAGAGAGCACAAAGTTGGATGAAATGGGTCCTTTCCTTTGAGGGTCATCCGCTTGATTTAAGGCCAGGGGATGGTGTTTAAAGTTGTAACTAACAATATGAAGCCCCTTGGTGTTAGGGTAGAACCAGAAGGCCAGGTCTGAATGTCAGCATTACAACTGTGATCTTGGACAGATTGTCTCCCCTGAACATCCATTCTTCTGTAACGTTGGGATAAAAGAATATTTCACAGACTTACAGTGATTTTATAAATGAGATAGCATAGCAAAGAACTTACCTACAGTGGGTGTGGAATTGATACTGTATGAGAAAGATATTAAAAAAGTGCCAAGTGAGTACCATAGACAGAAATTTTGAGGAAGAACAGAGGAAAGAGAGGCCATTCGCCTGGAATCTGAGAGACCATGGCCAATATGGTCTTGAGGACGCAAACGAGCAAGAGTGGGTATGAAGGATGGGTCATGGGAACCAAAGTGAAAGACGAAGCTGCAATTTTGAGACTGGATAGACTAAGAAAAGGGGTCATAGAAACGAGGGGTCACATTTGGTGGGGAGAGTTCTGTTTCAAACCCATTAAACTTGGGGCAGCTGCAGAGAGCTGTGCTTCTGGGATGCATGTTTGTTTGCCTCCCTGGCTTGTCGCTCAGACGGCCTGTCGTAGGCTTGACCAGGGCTGGGGATGACTTGAGCTGCTCAGCCTTCCCGCCTCAGGGTTTGCTCAGTAGGAAGCTTGCAGAGGGACTCTTTCTGGCTCAATGGAAATAGCCACATGCACGCAGGCTTTCTCACTGGGAAGGGAAACAAGGCAGAATTTTATTTATTTTATTTATTATTATTTTTTAAGATTTTATTTATTTGACAGAGAGAGAGACAGAGCAGGAACACAAGCAGGGGGAGCGGGAGAGGGAGAAGCAGGCTTCCCGCTGAGCGGGGAGCCCGATAATGGGGCTTGATCCCAGGACCCCGGGATCATGACCTGAGCCGGAGGCAGACGCTTAATGACTGAGCCACCCAGGCTCCCCACAAGGCAGAATTTTAAAACCTTGAGACCTACCTCTCCTTCACAGTTAGTGGAGGAGAACAGAACAGTTGCTCATGTTTATCCTCTTCCTTGAGTTTCTTTTTCTTTTTCAATCTCCTTCATCCCAACTAGTGGTCATTAATCAATTGCTACAGAAGAGAAATGAATTGGAAAAAGTTTTTTGAAATATAGCATGTGGTATGCCGAGATGGATGTATAGTTCAGCATGGCCTTTAAAAATTAAAATTCATACTTTTTATTTTGAATATTCACAATTGAATATAATATCTGACTTGATGTACTGATTATAATATCTGGTTGCAAATTATTAGAGATGCATATGTGCAGCATTTTAGGCAGCAACTTGTGAGACTCAGAAGCCAAGAATTTCTGTTATTTTCCAAAGTAATCAGGACTATATACCTATCTGTGTCTGTTTCCTTTCAAGTCATTTATGATCTGTCTTTATACAGAGTAGATCTAGCAGCCCGCAAGAAATCATGGTTACTGGTTTTTATAGACCACAGCTAGCCTGCCATATAAAATGCTAACATTTTGCCAGATTTGCTTTATCTCTGTCTCTGTGTCTTGTCTGGCTGGCTCTCTACACATGCACACACTTTAAATAATTTTTACTGAACCATTTGAGTTATAGAGATCATAAACTTTTTGTTCCAAATACTTTAACACATATCTACCAAGTACAAGAATACTCTTCCACATAACCCACACTAAGAAATATTATCTAATATATAGATATTTGAATACTTATTTAACTTTCCCCAGTTATTCCAATAATGTTTTTTATAACTATTCCTTTCCTCATCTAAGAATTCTCAACAATCATTCATTGAATTTTGTATCTTTAGTTTCCTTTAATAGAGCAGTCACCCCGTTTTTTTTTTATCATTCATGGCACTGATATCTTGGAAGATTTTAAGACAGTTGTCTAGCGGAAAATCCCACAATCTGGATTTGTTTGATTGTTACTTTATGATTAGGTACAGATTAAGCATTTTGACAAACATATGACACAGTGATTGTGGAGACACATGACATTCAATTGTCTCATAATTGATTATGCTAACTATCACTTGGGTAAAGTGGTCTGCCAGAATTCTCCATTATAAAGACACCCTTTCCCCTAGGCAAGTGATAAGTAATCTGTGGGGTGATACTCTGAGACTGTGTGAGTATCCTGATGCACAGAACCCTTTCCCTAATGGTTTTAGCATCCATTAATGATCCTTGACTGAATCAATTATCGCCCGGGTGGTTGCCAAGCGGGATTTTCTATTTCTGCTATTCCTTTGGTATTTTATTAGCTGGCATTCTTCCTAAAGAAGAGCTTCCTGCTATCCCCTATTTCATGAATGTCTCTGGATTTATGGTTCCTTTGTTTTATTCAGTATGTTCTAATTCATCCATATCCTTCTCTTTTTTTGCTGTTGTTCAAACTGCCTCACATTTGGCCAGTGGGAGCCCCTTTGAGGTGGCGCCCGTGTCCTTCTGTCATGTCTGCGTTAATATTTGAGCATTTCCTTAGTTTCTGGCAAAGTAAGATATTCTAGGCAAATTTATGCTGTCCTTGCCCCAGGCCTGGACCCAACTGTTTCTGGAATGAACTAAGGTATTTAGAAGCCAAGATCTGGGTGCTCAGGCTTTTCTTTAAAAATACGTATGATCTAGAGAGAGTTAAACGTCAGCCGTCATTTGTTTAAGCTCTCCCAGCCTCCACTTTCTGCTCAACTATTCCCTTGGAGCCGCTGGTTGTTTAGAAGTTGGAAGGAGAGAACCAGTTGAGAGGAAGAGGCCATCAAAAGTGAAGGTCCGGGGCGCCTGGGTGGCTCAGTCGGTTGGGCGTCTGCCTTCGGCTCGGGTCATGATCCCGGGGTCCTGGGATCGAGTCCCGCATCGGGCTCCCTGCTCAGCGGGGAGTCTGCTTCTTTCTCTGACCCTCCCCCCTCTCATGTGCTCTCTCTCTCTCTCATTCTCTCTCTCAAATAAATAAATAAAATCTTTAAAAAAAAAAAAAAAGAAAGAAAGAATGCACTGACAAATGTACAGTCCGGCAACTTGGACCGAGAAAGAGAGACTGAAATTTTAGCTTGACTAGCTGTAGGAGGCAGCCGGTCAAGCTGCTCAGCAAGCAAGAAAGGCATATTCTCTGATGCCCTTCTCTAAAGTGGCTAAGTTGAGGGACACCTGGGTGGCTCAGTTGGTTAAGCATCTGCCTTCAGCTCAGGTCATGATCCTAAGGTCCTGGGATCAAGTCCCACATCGGGCTCCCTGCTCCGCGGGGAGCCTGCTTCTCCCTCTGCTTCTGCCTCTCTCTCTCTCTCTCTCTCTGACTTTCATGAATAAATAAATAAAAAACATTAAAAAAAAATTAAAAAAATAAAAAAAGTGAAGGTCCTCTGGCTTTGGACCGGAGGTAGCACAGTGAGGCAAAAAGGGAAGTGAAATGGTGCCAAAGACCGATTTAAATTATGGTGGAATTCTGCCCAGGGAGTGGCTAGAGAGCCCCAGGAAATAATTCCTGCTTCTTTTCTAGGTAGACTCTGAAAATCGGTTGCCCCTTTTTTATATCTAGTAATGCTAAGAGAGCGTATTTCCCTGAGCTATACATGTGCTAATTCTTAGAGCAATTGAAGAAATAGAGTTTCCATCCTGAGAGTTCCTAAGTGCTCTGTATTTTCAGGGTCAGCATGTGGTATGCCGAGATGGATGTATAGTTTAGCATGGCCTTTAAAAATTAAAATCCATACTTTTTATTTTGAATATTCACAAGTGAATATAATATCTGACTTGATGTACTGATTGTAATATCTGGTTGCAAATTATTAGAGATGCATATGTGCAGCATTTTAGGCAGCAACTTGTGAGACTCAGAAGCCAAGAATTTCTGTTATTTTCCAAAGTAATCAGCATGCATTTGATACGATGATAGAGCCTCTGAGAGGTATCTTGAATCGCCTGATTTTTTGGAACTCAGTATGTCCTCTGTGATCTTTTTCTATACATAATAACGAATTTAAATGTTCATTTTGCCTTTCCTATTGTTTAAAACAAAACACGAAGCTAGTAGCTTTCGTTTCCATTTGATAGGGAACCTATGAAAATGCTTAAAAATATCAAAGCAATTTTGAAACATAAGGGTTTTGTTTTTGTTTGGTTTTCATCAAAGTCAGCATTTGTGGAAGTGGAAGAAAACAAAACAAAAATATAAAGACTACTACATGCATACTTTGTCTAGCAGGAATATGGTTTTTATTCCAACGTTCATGCTGAATGTTACAGATGCTTTATAGTTTCATGAAACAGAAGCGCACACCCACACCCACAACCACCGACTTTGAATTCTCAGTACGTTCTTGAGAATGCAGAGTCATCATATTAAAGCAACTGTTCTCGTGGGTTCCTGGCTGTGCATTACACCAGGAAGGTTAAACTGAAAATGGAAAGGAACACGTTCTTTAAATGTGCTGCTAGCCGAGCATAGGTGAGTGAACTCAGGTGTGTTGTGGCCACATTGTCCCAAATTGTCCTTTGACTCCTGAGTACCCTCACCATTCAGTTCTTTTGTGATATCCACGTATGGGATCAAACTAAGTGCCCTCACAACTAAGGAGTCACCATTTTTGGCAAATGGACAATTTTCAAAGTCAAGTTTCGTTGTTATTGGGAAGATCTTAATATAACTGAGTTCTTTTGGAACTCATAAAGATCAGCCTCTGTCTCTTGGTACTTTCTATTTAAAACTCACCAAGCGGAGCGGTTATTCCTACGCCCAAGTCCACTGCCCCTTGTATTTCTTTAATCTTGATCTTGTTTGAAAGGCGCTTTATCCAGAAACAATTTCTTCATTCAGAATGAAATTTCTTTCAGATATTAAGACGGCTTATATACAATTATATAACTTAAAAAAATCTTCTTTCATCTGGATTTTACTAAATTCATGACAGTTTTAGCCAGTAAAAGCAAATTATATTTTGGCCTCTGTAATGGATTTATATATTTTGAATGTCCCTGTTGGGACTGTGTTTGCCTTGAGTTGTGAGATAGAAAATACTTTGAAGGGTTCAGTTATGAGACTGGGTCTGTTAATGCTTATGAAGGAAGCTTCTGATGTCCTTGTTCTTGGTCTGGCCTTCATTGGCTGGATTTACATGTGAACTTAAAGTGGGGATAAAAAGAGGTTTTTTCCCATCAAATGCCTTAGTTCTGTTTTTATATAGCATATTGTTATTTGTGTGTGTGTGTTTTTTTTTTAAGATTTTGTTTATTTATTTGAGAGAGAGTCAGCATGAGCAGGGGGAGAGGCAGAAAGAGAGGGAGAGGGACAAGCACACTCCCCGCTGAGCAGGGAGCCTGATGCTGGGCTGGATCCCAGGACCCCGAGATCATGACCTGAGCCAAAGTCAGATGCTTAATGGCTGAGCCACCCAGATGCTTCTTAGCGTATTGTTATTTGTAATTGTAAAAGTAGATGTGGTTATTGTGAGAAATTTGGGTACCACAAGAAAATGCAAAGAAACTAAAAATTATTTTACTCTAATTTCATTATCTCTAATTAGCAGCTATACAAATGTTGACTTTTTTCCCCCCTTTTTTCTAGCTACAGATACTTTTAAACAAAATTGGGACTATACTGATCGTCCTGTTTTATAGTCTGCATTGCCAGTGAACACTGCTTAGAAACGTTTTCCCATTTTATGAAATGATTTACGGATTTAGAAAAAACTGTTTACCCATTGTTGGGCATTTATATTTTTAAAATTGCTTGAAGTCAAGGGGCGCCTGGGTGGCTCAGTTGGTTAAGCGACTGCCTTCGGCTCAGGTCATGAGCCTGGAGTCCCAGCATTGAGTCCCGCATCGGGCTCCCTGCTCGGCAGGGAGTCTGCTTCTCCCTCTAACCCTACCCCCTCTTGTGCTCTCTCTCTCACTCTCTCTCTCTCTCAAATAAATAAATAAAATCTTTAAAAAAAAATTGCTTGAAGTCATATTACTTATCATAGGAAAACTTCTTTGTACATACACATCCATACTTTTTATGTATATCTTGGACTTTTTAAAGGATAAATTCAGAGTCTTTTTTCAATTTACTGGTTTCAAAGGGTGAAAAGTAATTCAGTCCAGTTTGTCATTTCCAGTAATTACAGTTAAGCCCTCTTGACTGCTAGGATCTGTCTTTATAACGCCATCATCTTGATAAGATGTATAGTAGCCTTATTTATCTAACACCATTAGGGAACTTCTCATAAATAAAATTTTCACGTAACTCAAACTGTCCCTTAAGTGTCTACACTTGATAATTATAAACATTGTGAATGAGAATCTTTCTAAAATTGTATTACATATGTTGCTATCCTCTTTAACATAATGAAAAGCTATAAAAATCACAATTTACCCCCTTCTGGTTCAAATCACAAGCATCTTTATGAACACTAGTTACTGTATAGTCAGTTCTGCTAAAATCCGAGACAGGTGTTTCTGAGACCCACCGTGCTATGCAAAATCATGCAGTAAAACCCACAGCACTTATGGGAAAAATAGGGTCAGGGCATAACACTCAAAAAGCTTTATCAGTGACACATTAAAAAAATAAGGTAGGAACTGAATAAAAATTGTAGCACAATTTTACAGATATCAGGTGGTTAAGAAATAAATAGTACAATCAATATGACACTTTACCTTGACAAAATCCTGATGTTTTCTTGCAGACTGAGGCCTTCCAAAGGTTGCAGGTTGTGAGTTATTTGAAGTGGTGGAAGGAGGGCTCCCTGAAATCAGAAGGGAAGTCGGGGCACCTTGTATGGATGGGTGTAGCTCATAGCACTGGTGGACACTGGGGTCGCCCGTAGATGTTGGAGGCATGGGCTTTGCGCATCCTGCGTATCTTTACGCAGCTGCGTTCTGCCTAGGTGCAGTCTTCTGCTATTACCTAGGGTTTCCTGCAATGAAATCACGCATCAACAAATGTGAGATTGCATAGCAGTGTTGGAACAAACACAAACGTTATAGCAGAACAGATTGTACCGAGTGGTAAGACAGTGACGTCGAGGGGATGTTCTTCTTTTCTCTACCCCTAATAGAGTGAATACGTGTAGAACGCTTCCGAGAAGAATCTGGCATACGAGTGAGCATTGTGTTAAGTGTTGGCAGTCACAGTGACAATAATAATAATGAGTGATGCCTATCAATGTTTGTGGGATTCTGTTTTTCAGTTATAACCGCCTCCTGTAACATTGCTTCCTGCCTCCTTCTCATTGACCTATTTCTCAATCTCCTGTGGCTTTTAAATGAGTTTATTGTGCTTAGAATTACATCTAGCATAAGGCCCAGCATGGAAGAGCCTGGGGGGGAGGGTGGCGGCGTGCTGACTTTAGTTATGGTTTACCTGTGTCATCCGTTTTACCTACTCAAACTTTGTCATCTCATGAGGTATTACCTATGTATTCATTTGTGAGATTGTTGGGGAAGAAACTTCGGTTCCAAATGAGGATATTATCGTATAGAATTTTCCGGTTTTCTCTTTGATTAGAAAAAACAACTCCTCATTCCCACCTGCAGAAGTGAAGTGTGCTTAAATGAAACCACCTGAAGGGTGCTTAGAAGTTGTTGGTGATTTTCTTTAGGTTGTTACTGTGCATTTCTACTTACAACCATTTCTGTGCTTGTGAGGTGAGCTTGTCTTTGGAAGGTGGAGCAGGCAAATGTGACTTCGGGAGACCTTCCCTCCCAAGTCACAGTATAATTAGAAGCCCGGATCCTCCCCCGGTTATTTTTTATGACTCCCGGAGAAGGACAGTTTTACCGTGAATGGTTGCCAAGAAGCCTTTGCTGGATCCTCCTTTAGTGGTTTTAATAAGACAACGGATCAAAATAGCGTCTTGATTTAGCAGGCCTTGTTAGTATTGTTCTGAAAGAAAAGTAACTAACGTGGCTCATCATTTAGATATTCCAATGAAATGTGTATTCTAATTATGCAGAGACCCTGAATAGCAAGGGGGTGTCTTGATTTTTAATCTCTGAGCTGACTTTGAATTTTAACTTTTTGTCTCTGCACAGTTTTTAGATATTTGGGCTGCTTGACCTCATTGAGTGATTGCTATTAACTAACAAGACTTTGTGGGAAAAGGGAAATTTGCCTTCTGAGCTCTGTACCAAAGACCTGGGAAAAAAGTAAGTAATTTTCTAACTTGCTTTTTTAAAAAAAATTCTTGTTACACTTCTCTCAGAAAGTTAACAGTGTGGGTCTGTGGCTTTTCTACTTTTATTCTTTCCTGGCTTTGTAAGTTTTATATGCTCTTACGGATTTGAAAAATAGAAAGGAACTCGAGAGACCTTTTTAAAAAAAAAAAAAAAAAGTAAAAGACTGTCTGCATTGTGCCAAGTCTTTTGGGTTTCATAAACTGGGTCCTCAAGGTTGTGATAAACCTTTTATCAGGTGTGCAGTAGACAAATTAAATTATAAGGGTAAAGCATTTACTATGGTGTGCCAGAAAAGTGAGTCCAGTTTTCTGAGCTTCAAGTGTTTTAGACTTTTAGATAGGCTCTTTGGTTCTGAATTTTTAGAATAAGAATGAAATCCCATTTGGCTCTTCTCTTGTCTGGAAAGGAAAACAAAATGTGTAATCATTTGTTCAATATGTCCCTTCTTGGTCTTAGAAGAATGGATGTGTCTGTCAGTTTTATTGTTTTATAGCTTTTTGTTGGTACTCTGAGATATTCTAATTAAGACATTGTGTGAATGGTTTTGCTATCTTTTAGAAAAAATTGCTTGGGTCCATAAAGTTCAGTTTTATTCCCTGATCTTTCTGAAAGGGTAAAAATGGGCCTTGAAGATAATAAAGTCAATCTGCTTTATTGCTGAATTTACGTGGAAGTATGAATGGCCCATGAGAATGTAAGCAAAACAAAACATACACATGTACATTCACACACACACACACACACACACACACAAATCGTTTTCTCTGGCATGTTCCAGAAACAATATCATTGACAATAGGAACCATTTGTCCATAAAATTCCTAGGGAGTTTCCTAAACTTTGTATGCCTTTTGTCTTACGGTTCCTCTACATTTCTGACCGTACAAATAAGCTAGTTAAAATGTGTCTAAAACAAAACAAGGCAGAAGACAACTCTGCTCTAGAAGTTCCATAGAAATATTAAATAGTAAGATCAGATTTCATTGTTATATTGTACACAATATAAATTTCCTTATAATTAAATTGTGTATTATTATATAATACTTATATTAGGTAAGGGTCATGAATTATGAAGCTTTTTTAGGTTATATAAAATATTTGTACTGAAAGATTTATTACAAAGAGTATACACACTACAAATATAATTTCTGAGGGCTGTCAATATAAATTCATTGAAAGCAAGGACTTTGTAAATTTTCTCCAAAATTTTTTTAATGTTACAGTGAAATATTTGCAGTAGTGAAATGCTATTGTCAGTGGCATTTTAAAAAATGATAGCAATTTATTTAGTTGAATTTTATATTCACATATTAGCCTTAACATAAAGGAAATCCTATGTGGTATAGTTATTATTCCTTCTTGGAACAGTATTTGTTTTTTGTTTTTTTTTTTTAAAGATTTTGTTTATTTATTTGAGACAGAGAGAATGAGAGAGAGAGCACATGAGAGGGGGGAGGGTCAGAGGGAGAGGCAGGCTCCCTGCTGAGCAGGGAGCCCGATGCAGGACTCGATCCAGGGACTCCAGGATCATGACCTGAGCCGAAGGCAGTCGCTTAACCAACTGAGCCACCCAGGCGCCCTTGGAACAGTATTTGAAAGAGGATTATGTGGGAAGTCATCAGTCTATCCACAGAAGTGGAATGAAAAGGGCAAAAGATTAATTCTGTGGGCTTCAGGATCTAGATATTTGATGTTTAGATTGGAAATATAACTTAGCCCTCCAGAAGGTAAGCTACTGAAACTGTCTTTCAAATAATTTAGCATCTCTTTAAAATTTAATATAGTCTCTGGTGAGGTATTTTCCTTCCCTTGTACCAAAATACTCCCTTTGTGCCATTGTTGTAAAAAGTTGTATTTCCATTTTGTAGAGGCAAGACATCTGTAGGAACTCTGGTCACAATAATAAGCTAAAGACAACCCCTGTGTTACCAGCGGGACCAGGGCAAAAAGATCCCTGCTTCCTAAAACTGATGGTATAAGTGAATATTTATATGCACAGAAGGCTGTGCATAATTTACCTTTAGGTTAAAAGAAAGAAAGAAGAAAGAAGGTTATAATGCCTAAGTACACTCTGTATAAATCCGGTCCTGCAGGAACTGGTTAGGTGGAAGGCAACATTAAGGAAGAGGCAGGGCAGGGGAGAAGGAAGGACGTCCTTTCTGACAGTGACAAAAGTCATAGGGGAATGTTTCTGACCGTACTTTGAAAACTGGAATGGGTACTTAAATGTATCAGTGATTTCTTTAGGGGCGAGGCAAGCACAATTTTAGGAAAAAGCCAGCACCCGAAAGAACCTCCACACTTCTTTTCAGCATCTTTGCATCCTCTAATTTTATTTTTTCTTACTTGCATTTGCATTTTATTTAATTATTTAAGGTAGATTTCTGGACACTTGAGTCTGTAATGCTTATAAAGTATAGATGCTCTTTTGAAAAATTAGCCATGGATTATTTTAAAAGAAGTAAAAAATAGCTTCTCTTTTACTGTTCTACTGAATATGTGCATACATTTCTTTTTATGTCAGTACTGAAAGAGGATTCTATTCTTCAAACTGTTCGGTATCCTGTCTTTTTCCACTTAACAATAAATAATGAATCCCCATGCTAACGAATATTTATCTACAAAATCATTTTTAGTGAAAGTAAAACAATCGGATCTTAGCTTTTTGTTTAATTTGAGGACATCGTGGCTTTCCGTTACAAAGGAGAATACAAATGTGAAATACAGAGTGTGAATTTTCCATCTGCAAACAGAGAATAGACTAGGATTCACCTTCTATAATCTGTACGGTGTTTACTGTAACCAGACATGTTCTGAATAGGAGGCTCGTGGGACTAGATGGGTATTCAAAACTCTAAGTGTCACTGTCTGACAGGTACGGTGTATAAAGCACTGTGTCTTCTTTGGTCCCTTTGTTATACTACCAAGAGTGCAGGTGACACGTTCCTCCTGCTTTGTTGTCTTCATCAATATTTCTGTGCCGAAGGAAGGATTCCACCTACATATTTCTCCCTCCTGAGAAACTTAAATTTCTCGAATGAGGTGATGGGTACTAAGGGAGGAGCATTTCAAAGACTTTGGACTAGAATTTATTGGAGTAAATTGCAATCTAAATTAATTGGAGATGCAGAGTGTTTTCTAGCCCTTTGCATACTTTCTCAATTTTAAGTTCATTTATTAAATCAACATTTGGTGTGTAACTACTATGCACCAGCCACTGTGCTAGGAGCTCCTTATTCAGAGATGACTGATATGCCCTTGCTTTCAAGGAACGTAATTTGAGTTTCAAATTCAGATTCAAATGACCTTTATTCAGGCTGTACATGTGACAAGCCGTGGGAGGGATGCTCTTAGATGAGGTCTTTGATTACGAAAATTCAGTAATGATACTTACTGACCCATTCCCTCCAAAATAAGTTATAAATAGAATTCTCTAATCTTTGGTTTTTTTTCTTCCATTATATTTTCTTAAACTTCTAATACCTGCGACTACTTGTTAAGTTAAATTAATAAATGGAAAAAAAAGGGTTGAAGCATTTAGTTGATAAACTTTGAGCAATAATTGTAAAAACATATATATTTTTTATACTTGAAAACCTGTATACATGTAATGTAGTCATAATTTCTCCTCCTAGAGTAATTCTTAGTTCACATGATACAATTGAATGTACTGAGATTTCATGCATTCTGCCCATAGGGTGGCTTTAGTGCCTGGGCAAGTGTGAAAGACATAGCATGGGGCCATTTGATTTTCCCAGTAATTCTTGGGGTAGGGATTATTGAAATTTAGGGAGGAAGGTAACTTGCCCACACTCACTCAGCTAGAAGATGTTTGAGTTAGGATTCTGACTCTGACCCATCTAACGTCAAAGCCCATGCAATATCCTCCTGACTCCTTCGAGGTGGTGGGGACTTGGGTTTGCTGAGGAAGGAGCAGTCATTTCAGCTGAGGAATCAGGAAATGTCTTTATTGCATGGAAGAGCTATCCCTGAGATAAATCTTGTGGGTGTTAGAAGACAGGGAGGAGTTGGAGGTAGTAGTAGGAAAAGCATGTGCTGAGGTGTAGAGGAATGGAAGCTCATGGTATGTTCCGGGAGTAGTGAGAACTCTACTGTGGCTGGGGTGTGGGACATGGTGGAGAGCAGAGTTGGCTCTGAGATTTGAAAGGCATTGGTGCCAGAGTGAGGAGGGTCACATGTGTGCCATGCTAGAGGCTTGGGGTTTCTAAGCAATATATAGCCATAAAAATTTTAAGGTAGAAGAAAATTCATAATTAGATGGGAGTTTTACAAAAATCACCTGGGTGGCAGTGTGGAATGTAGACTGAAAAAGAGAAAACGAGACTGGAGCCCCAGGGCCACCATGTGAGGTCGTGCAGATTGTTCACTGCACAAGGGAATGTGTGAATGGTGAGTGGTGGGGACTAATAACCATCTGCCACATTACTCACAAACTGTGTGCTCTTGGGTCTGGGCCTGCCTAGAGAGGGTACCTTTTAAAATTTGCATAATAAAATGCTCTACTTGCCTTTTAATTGCTTTTAAAATAATAGAAGAGATTACACAAAGAAATAACCATGTACCCAAAGGCCTAGGAGTCTGGAGGTGGACATGGTGGTCTGTTTACTAACTATATGACATTGCGCATGTTCCCCATTCTCAAACTCTATTTCCTCCATCTTTAAAGGAGGGTTGATAGGAGTGCCTGGTGGCTCAGGCAATTAAGCATCTGGCTCTTGATTTTGGTTCAAGTCATGATCTCTGGGTTGTGAGATCGAGCCCCATGTCAGGCTCCATGCTGGGCATGGAGCCTGCTTGGGATTCTCTCTCTCCCTCTTGCCTCTGCCCTCTCTATAAATACATACATACATATATAAGATTTGATAATAGGATCTGGCAGGGCATTGGACAGGTTAAGGGGCATTTGTAAGAGAAAGAACTAGACACGGGGGACGGAGAACTAGTAGGTCTGGGACTGGAAGCCACTCAAGTTAACTTGCGAGTGTGCTAGGAACTGTAGTAAGGGTTTTAAGATTTTATTTTCCTTAATCCTGTATCAGTTCTGAGAGGTAGATATTATTGTCCCATTTTAAAGATTTTGTAAATGAGGTTCAGGAGGTTAAATAACTTGTCTAATTTCACACAGCTAGGGAGGGGTATCATTAAGACTCGAACCTGGGTCTTTGTGACTCTCATGTTTATGTTCTTAATGACTGTGCTATGTTTAGAAGTAATCTTTTCTATATGTTGAACTCCCTTAATACCCTGACCTGAATCTCTTTGATAACATTTTCTGATTTTATTTTTTATTGTTTTTAACTTGAAGTGGGTCACAGTTATTTACACAATGTTTTGTTTAATTTACTAGATGGGAAGATTCTGAGCACTGGGATCCAGTGTCATTCATTTTTTTGTTTTTGTCTTTCATATCTCTTTGCTCAATAAAATATGCGTTGATAAGATAAAAAATCTCTTGGGGTGCCTGGATGACTCAGTCGGTTGGGTATCTGACTCTTGATCTCAGCTCAGGTCTTGATCTCAGGGTTCTGAGTTCAAGCCCTGTGTTGGGCTCTGCACTGGGCGTGGAGCCTACTTTTAAAAAAACAAAAAGGATGAGTCATCTCTTAAAATTTTTCTGTCTCCTAAAATTCAATAATTTTTTTATTATAAATGTAAAGCCTCAGTTGCAGTTATAGCTAAGTAGAACTTAAAAAGGAGTCATTGGATTTTAATTTGATATCTAGATTGATTGCAAAAATAATTTGTGATTTGCTGTCAAAGGCTAAGTAAGGCCAAGACTAAAATTGCACTTCTTTCCGGTCCTATTTGGAAGCTGAAAGCTGTGCTTGCCGCTTCAGAACTGTGACAGCTCTAACACTCAGATGTCTTAAATGGTATTTATGAGTCCATAAAAAATGTTGCCCTGCCATTCATGCAGGTAAGGACCTCCTTTTGCAAAAACACATGAAACCCTGGAGCTGATGGTCACTCTCGTTTGGTCCCATGGACTCAGACTAACAAAGAGAAGGGCTTGCCTAGTTCAGGGCCGATGATCAGAGGCCCTGGGGTCAGACTACCTACATTCGCATCCTACTTTCTTGGTTTATGAACTCCGTGGCCCTTGGCAAGAAAGCATCTATAAATGAAGATGGCTAAGAAACTAGGCTGTTGTAATAGGGTCATGTGCCTGGTTCATTGGGAATCTAAAGGGAAAAAATCTGCATTCAGACGAGAGCCACTTTTGCTTAGATATTCTGTAAAGAAGGGCAAAATTATGAGCTTATGGGATGGAATTATAGGCCATGTTTGCCCCAGGATGACCCTTTGCTGTAAGGACTGCATCTACTTTTGTGAATTCTAAGGGGGGAGTTTAAGCTTTGCTTCATGCTCGGTATGCCCAAGGAGAGTAGGAAATGATGGCTTTTTTAAAAAAAGGAAAATAGGGACGCCTGGGTGGCTCAGTCGGTTGAGCGGCTGGCTTCAGCTCAGGTCGTGATCCCAGGGTCCTGGGATCGAGCCCCATGTTGGGCTGTCTGCTCAGCAGGGAGTCTGCTTCTCCCTCTGCCGCTCCCCCTGCTTGTGCGCTCTCTCTCTCTCTGTCAAATAAATAAATCTTTAAAAATGAATGAATGAATGAATGAATGAATGAATGAATGAATGAATGAAAATGTTATTTGAGATCAACATTGCCTCTGGGCTTTGAAAAACTCTGGAGTTTCTTTCATCTTCCAGGAGAGGAGCATACGTGAGCTGGGAGAAAGGAAACCAAACCCCAGGGAAGTTTCCTAGCTTGTCTCTGCCCCTGTTACTGGAAAAGAGGAAGTCAAGGTCTGTAAATAGCTCCCCTGGCCTCGAGGGGCTGTTTAAGTTCAGGTGCACTGGAAACGGAGCACTGGGTAGCTTATCTTCTTACTTCCAGTGGCCCCTGCTTCGCCTGAGGGGAAGTGAAATAGCAGAATGGGTCTCAAAACATTGCTGCACAGCAAAAACAAGCGTGGGCCTTTCTGTCACAGAGTTTATTTTCTTTCATCAATGTGAAGCGGCACGAAGACTCGCAATGTTATTCTCCTTTGAGGTTTTATATTTGAGATCGCTGGGGAAGAGCAAGCCAGCTGGATAAAAATACTCTTCAGACCCAATCTTATTCTTGCAGTTTTTGTCTGCTTACCTTTGCACTTTAAAGTACAGGGCAAACTTGGCCTTGTCCATTCTTGCTGGGGAAAAACTTGGGTTATCAATAAATGCTGAATTTAAAAACCCTTTCCTGGGTTGCCTGCCCCCACTCAAGGACTCCTGCAAAAAAAAAAAAGCTTCAGCCTGCTATAAGCTGGTAGGCTCTTAATACTTGGATGCTTTGGTAGGGAAAGTAAAATGGGATTGTATACCCTTCCCTTTTACTTCTGAACTAATTGTTGTTTTCCTGCATTTAAAAGCATATGTTAAGCTCTTCCTTTGATGTTCAACAGCAGACAGACTCCAGTTGCATATTAGAGCTCTTGATGCGTATCTGTTGTTTGAATGAAGATCAGCTTTGGCAAATTAGATTTTGATGGTTACATTTTGATCTGGAGCCACAGAATGGAATGGCAATTTATTCTTTATTCAGTACACATTTCTCAAGGGTTCCGGCTGGGCCCTCGACGTAAATTGTTTTTCAAATTTCACAAATACCACAAAAACCTTGCCAACTAGATGGTGCTATCTCTATTGAATAGAGAAGAAAAATAAGGTCTATAGAATGCTTAGGACTATTTTATACGTAAGAAAAATAAAGCTTAGGGAATGATTAGAAACCTTGCGCAGGGTTGCATTGCTATTAAGTGGCTAGGAGTTTGATCTGGGGATTTTGGCTGATCTCGAACCTGTTACTCCAGAGGCGCTGCTTTTTAAGAGATCATCAATGGAACAAAAATGTTGAGCTCATATTGGGAAAAAAGTAGTTAACCGTGAGCCCCTCATCATTTGCTCAGTAAACGTTTATCGAGTGCCTGTTTTGTGCTCGATACTCTGCAGGGTGCTGGCAGTTCGCTGGAAGGCAAGACAGAGTCCGTTTGTCACCAGCTTGATGGAGGAAATAGGGATGCAAGAGTGTTTGCTCCCGTCAAAAGCAGTGTCTTGGCTGGGAGAGGTTTTGTAAGGTTTTTTAAGATGTAGAAATTTTGACACTTAAAAAAATAGTTTAGTATTCTTTTCCATCATTAAACATATATTAAATTACCTACAAATAAACAGAGAGGTGGCTTCACGAGACTACTTTGCAATTGTACTCATGGCTTGAGCTGCTTAGGATATGAAGAAATGGAGGCTGGAGAAACTGTATTGAGTTTTAAACAAAGTATTGCAAACAAAAATGTGAACAATTACCTGGCAAGGACTATATCCAGCTTTGGATTCCCCATTTTAGGTAGGAGGTACTTAGCACAGTACCTGGTATGTAGTGAGTACCCAGTAACTCTGGTTGATTAGCTCAGTGATGGAAAATAAAATAAGGAGAAGAGGGGACAGGAGTCTCACAGGAAGGGGGATAAGTTAAGGTAATATCAAGGAGGAGTGTGAGGGTGGCAATAAAATAAACCAATAAATAGGTAAAGAGAGCACATGACATGTGCTGGACTTAACCCACATGTACAGACTGTTTGAAGAGTCAAGGTGGGAGGAGCTATGTTTAGGGAATCTGGAAATGCCATTGGGTTTGGATGCATCCTTCCCCTTTCCCACCATGATCTTGATTTCAGTTTTTAAGACTCCAGGTTTTGGGGTTTTTTTTAAAGATTTTATTTATTTGAGAGAGAGAGAGAGAGCATGAGCAGGGGGAGGGGCAGAGGGAGAGGGAGAAGCAGGCTTCCCACTGAGCACGGAGCCTGATGCAGAACTCGATCCCAGGACCCTGGGATCATGACCTGAGCCGAAGGCAGACGCTTACCCGACTGAGCCACCCAGGCACCCAGGACTTTAGGTTTTTAAGTCTGGTATTTGGTTCTTTAATAAATTGGGTGACCATATGTGTCTGTTTGCTGGGACAGCCCTGACTGCCTATTTCCTGTTTACCATTTTCGATAATGCCCCCTTTCCCTGTCAAGTGTCCTGGTGTGGATGATAAGTTAAATGGCCACCCTACTAAGGGAATTTGGTGACCTTCTGTGTCTTTAAACAGAAGTCTCACAGCATTCAGACTCCTTTGATGAATTCACCTAATGTGGATATAGTATCAGTAAAATGACCTGTTAGACTAGTGTCTGATCTATTATAATAAGTAGAAAGGAGAACCAATGAGTGGTAACTGAAAAAAATCAGATATTGAGCAAAATAAGCTGATTTTGACAAAACGAACTTTAATTACAACTAATGGCTGGTATAGCCATAAGAGAAAGGGCATTTAAAGGTTATCACGATGATGGGTAGTGTTTAGGGAATCTGGCATCATTGGAGAAAATCATGTCATCATCACTAGTTTTGATTTAGTGTCTCACTGTTTCCACAGCACTGGTAATTTAATTCAGTTGCATTTTCATTTGTTCTCTGAGTAGAAGGTAAAGGAAATAATTTCTGAGAACAGAGGTTTTTGTTGGAGGCTTAAAGAAATGGCTGGAGGGAAAATTGTTAATTTCAGATTTTTCCCCTTAAATCTACTGTTAAAGTGTGTCGTTTGTTGAAAATGGTGGTAATATTTTAATCCAATGAGACATTTACATAGGGACTCCCAAAACTTTAATAGAAGTACGTTGAGGTTTTCTCTTGATAAATAGGGTTAAATTGGTTTTATAGTTCATATACATGGGCTTTGAAGAAACAGACTAATACTTTGTCATACAGATATATGTAAAAGTTTTAGGTGTTCAGGTAATGCTTGACAGTGATTCCAGGATGAGAGTTGGGTGGAGGATTAAAATCATACTATGACCAGTCTTTTCCATATTAATATTTTATGAGGCAATGATGCATTTGCCTTCAGGACCCATAGTTTCTTGTTCTCTGCAGTGTTATCTTTTGTAGGAGGGTAGATTTTTGAAGTAGAGGGATTATTCCTCTATAATTCTAAAACTTGGTTGTTTTAGAATAAAATTCATACTCTGCCACTGGCTATCTGTGGGTGAGTTCTTTCTCTGAGCCTCAATTTTCTAGCCTGTAAAGTGGGAATAATGAGATTTATTGTTTAAAGTTTATTAACAGGATGTTTATTCATTTCTGAATCTGGGATAAACTGTAAGCATATAGCACAAAGGAAATTTTCTCCCAGGATGAGGAATCAATAGCAGATACTGAAGGTGGGGAGACAGGCGTTACTGTTGGAAGCCGTGAGACTCAAACTAGTTAACACCCAGCTTCTGGCCAATCAGAATGGACGCTGACTGTAAACATTCTGGATGGTTGTTACAGTGCTCAGCCATTGAATATTAGCCTATATTGTTGGTGTTGAGAAATCTGTGTTTAATCTGTGATGATTTGCAAGCAAACCCATTGTGTCTCCTAGTTAAAAATTAACACCCCCTCCTCAGAGCTCCCGTGATCAAGAAAGGATACCATCTTTACTGGATGGGTGAGCCTAGCGTTCATGCCTGGATTCCTGTCTCAAAGGTTCCTATTTACGTTGAGGACCTTGCTAATCATTGCTGCCAGCACTGTGGTAGCTCTTTGGAGACTCCCATTTTCCACTCCATTCCTTGTCTACTCTAATTATCTAAAGCAGATAAAAGTTGAATTTATGACTTTTTTTTTTTTTTGAATTTTTTTTGAATTTATGACTTTTAACAAAACCCGCAGCCTTACCAGGCCACCTTTCTGTGTAGACCACCACTTCTCACTCCCAGAAATGACTGTCAGCACATCTGAATGTAGAGTCTGGGCATCCAAGAGAATGAGGCTCTGGAAGAGGGAGCGCTTTCGTTTTCTTTCTGCCAAGTCTTTCTTGCTCATTCCCATTTCTCATATCAGGCTATGCCTCTTCCCGGGATAATCGATGTTGGGCAGTCTCCCTTGCACAGGGCAGACCTAACCCCTTTCCCTAGGGATGGGATGGGACTAGCCAGCTATCAAAAAGTCCAGCATCATTTAGAAGCTTCCATGTAATCCTAGAAGGTTCCTTTCCTAGAGTAGGGGTGAGTTGGTTTCCATATACTGATGTAGTTAAGAGCCGACAAGAAATTGTTTTGTGCTTACCTCATAGGTGTTAGAAGGGCTGTTATCAAAAAGAGATAACAAGTGTTGGCGAGGAGGTAGAGAAAAGGGATTCTTGTGCACTGTTGGTGGGAATGTGAATTACTGTAAATGTAGTGGTGTAGCCACTGTGGAAAACAGTATGGAGATTCCTCCAAAAATTAAAAATAGAACTGCTACATGATCAAGCAATTCCGTTGGTGGGTATATATTTGAAGGAAATGAAATTACTATCTAGAAGAGATATCTGCACCCCCATGTTCATTGTATTATTTACAGTAGCCAGGACATACAAGCAACCTAAGTGCCCATCAGTGGCTGATGGATAAAGAAACCATGGCATATATACACAATGGAATATTAGTAAGCCATAAAAAAAGAAGGAAATTCTGCCATTTACAGCAATGGACCTTGAGGGCATTATGGGTGGACCTTGAGGGCATTATGCTAAGTGAAGTAAGTCAGGCAGAGAAGGACAAATACTATAAGGTGTTACTTATATATGGAATCTAACCCCCCCAAACTTAGAGAAACAGAGATCAGATATGATGGTTGCCTGAGGTGAGGGTGGGGGAAATGGGGGAAGGTGGTCAAAAGGTACCAACTTTCAGTTATAAGGTAAGTTCTGGGGATATAATGTACGGTTTGGTAACTGTACTTAACAGTACTGTATT